AGGGAGCTGGAAGGGAAGTGGAGCAGCTGGGAGACAAACTGGTGCCCACGTGGGATGCTGGGCTTGCCTGCGGAATATGTAATGGAGCTTTCTTAACAGTCTCATCCTAGAAAACACAGTGACGTTTTTGAAATTTCCATGAACAAAAAAGAAATTTGCACTTTGATCTCTTTTATGTTCACATTGTTTAATGAGCTCCATTTCTTTCTTTTTTTAATTTCATTATGTGACACAATGTTAAAGGCACTGGGATTCCCCCCACCCCTCCCCGAACCCTCTCCCCATGGTGGACTTCTCCACCTTGCTGCATTACCACAGTTCAAATTCAGTTGAGGTTCAGCTCCATTTCTTTTTCTGTGACTTGTCTATCCATGTCTTTGTTACCTAACTTCAGATTTACTCCATCTCTTAAACTCTGTCTACTTCTGCTCCTTATTCCTTTATTTAAGCCTTCATTGGCTCTCATCTGAACCACGGCATCAGCCACATTCACCCTTGTTGGCTTGACAGTGATACCTCACAACAGCTACTCCAATCTTCTTTAAAATAAAGAAGGAACAGCGCTTCCTCCCTGTAAGTCCCCAAGGGTTTCCCAATGCAACCAAAGGCAATATTCTTTGTGGAAGCCAACTACACGTGCAGTCTCATCCTCTCCTACAAGAGTACTTGACAAAGTTCACTGAAAAGTGGAATTGAAAGGTAACTGACACTACCAAGTTTGTCAATTACCTTTGTATTCCTGCTGATGTCCTCTGCTCTGGGCTGTAGCTGGCTTTCCGTCTTGTTCTGTGCTTTGCCCAAATCAACTCTGCTGCCATCCAGAGGAACTCGAAAAGGAGCTATGCCTATGTGTGGAAGCCTGCTTATCCCTCCTTACTTTAAGCACTACTGACACACCACTCACAGAACAGCCAGCTTTCACCATCTTCTTCCCCAGGTCTTCCCGTTTTCCTTCCCTCCCTGACATTCTTGATTGTGTCCAGGTGCTGTCTGTCCTGACTATTTTAGAATGTGAGTGTCAGAGCTGGGACAGTGGCTGGGTCTCAGGGACCACCGCCTGCCCTGTGTCACACACTGCTTCCCCACTGACAGGTGCTCCAAGTTATCCCAAACCTTCTCAGCATGTAAGACTCATCATTTAGGGCCCAGCACGATGGCTCAATGGCTAAATGTACACCTTGCAAGTGCCAGGATCCCATATAGATGCTGGTCCACTTCCCTTCCAGCTCCCTGCTTGTGGCCTGGATAGAGGATGGTCCAAAGCACAGGGACACTGCACTTACGTGGCAGACTCAGAAGTTCCTAGCTTCAGACTGGCTCAGTTCTGGCCCCTGCAGCCATCTAGGAAATACACCAGTGGATGGAAGATCTTCCTCTCTATCTCTCCCTCTCTCTATAAATCTGCTTTTCCAATAAAAATAAACACAAATCTTTAAAAAAAAAAAAAGACAAAAAGATAAGCAATGATGATCCAGAGAAACCTGACAGAAGAAATTGAATGCCCATTGAAAACTCAAAAGGGAATCCAGGGCCTGGTGCGGTAACCTAATGGCTGAATTCCTCCTCACCTTGCATGCACTGGGATCCCATATGGGGATCAGTTCTAATCCTAGCAGCCCTACTTCACATTCAGCTTCCTGCATGTGGCTTGAGAAAGCAGCAGAGGATGACCCAAAGTCTTGGGACCCTGCACTCCCACGGGAGACCTGGAAGAAGCTCCTGGCTTTGAATCGGTGCAGCTCCAGCCATTGCAGCAGCTTGGGGAGTGAAGCAATGGATGGAAGATCTTCCTCTCTGTCTGTCTCTCCTCTCTGTAACCTGACTGTCCAATAAAAATAAAACAAATTAAAAAAAAGGGAAATCCTAGAGCCTATAGAATTGTATCATTTTTTTAAAAAATCAAGAGTAACTTCTATTTGGAATGAGAACATATATTACCTAAATGCTCTAACTAGAAAATGGCATCCTTTGGATCTAAGTAAAAACAAAATCCAAGTATAACATCTTAACTCTACAGAGGGATGATGTCTTTATCTCAGGAATCAAACATTCAATCATAAGATGGTTAAATTTAACCAGACATATCATTGGTTATCAAAATGCACAATCATAAATGGGTAGATAAATAAATGAGGCTCCACCCATCTGATGGTAGATGTTTGTTACTCCAAAGGGGCAGGAGGCGGGGCCGGAGGCGGGGCGGATGCTCTGCCACACAAGACCCCTCCAGGAACCGTAGCTTCACACCTTCAGGGAACAGCTACAGAGGAGCACACAGAATGCGCTCTTCTTTTGTAAAATAAACAAAAAGTTACATGCATGCAAATGTTCAGGCGGAGTCAACAGAAAACAGTAATAAACATGAGTATTTTTTAATACGCTATACTTAAGCAGAGCAATATTCGTTTTAAAAAGTAGGGGAGAAAGGAGGGTTGGAAATCAGCAGTGAAAGAGGAAAGGTCTGCCATCCAGAGGGTTTCTCACATCGTGCTGCCCCTTGGGGCGGCAAGGTCACTTGAGAGAACAACTCTGGCCAGCAGGCTAGCAAAGCTACTAAGATCAGAACCAAAGGCTGTAATTGGGTAAAACCTCAGAATCTATTGTGTTAATGAAGCACTGTCACTTACATTGGACAAAATAGAGAAGGTCATTCCGAGTCTATCCGAAATCACCACTAGATTCTCAGGACCATCTTTCTGAACTGGCCTGGGAAGTCACGTGCTGACCTGCTGCAGAACCACACACCATTCCTGTACGATTTTCTTTAACTAACCAAGATACTTCACTTCTTCACTACACAAAGGCTAGAATGCTTTCCATCTGAGTGGGTACACCTCAGCTTCCAGGGGAATGGACTCAAAACTGCCTGGAAGAGCAGGCAAAGCAAGCTTCCAATGCCTCCGAACCTCAGACTTGGTGTTCTGACCTGGTTTCTATGGCAAACTGACAGGCAAATGCTGAAATGGAGGATTGTCCTATCACTCTTACTGAAGGCTGCCAATAGATAATTTTCTACCAAAGTAAAAATGTAATTGTTGCTGTAATACATTGCTAACTTCCCGAGTTCGAAGCCCATGCTCAATGCCCACCCCATTGTCCTGCTGGCTTTTGCTTCCAGGCTCTGTGAGCTTCAGTTCCCAGCTGACATGGTAAACTCTTTATTAACCCACTATCAACCGGAAGTTGAGGCCACGTGTTAGTCCTACTTTCATATTGATCAAGTTGAGTGAAATGAGTGTATCTTCACCGAACTAACTGATCGAGACAGGACTATTCGAAAGACGCACTTACAGATGAAAAGACAGCATGCACCCCAGAAGTTCCTTAAGAATGATCTGTGGCTTACTACCACTGCTGTGTCTATCCGGATGAGCAGGGAGTCCTCCAGTAGCTTTGGTACTCTGATCAGATCTTCACCGAGTTGTGAGTGGTCACACACCAGCCTTATTTGTATTTAGAAGGGTCAAACGAGAGGCACATGAAAACACACAGTAACTCTGAAGAAGTATATAGATTCCCCTTCGGGCTGTCACCCCACACTACCCACGTCGCTACTGGTTTGTAAAATCAGAGCCTGACCCGGCACCAGCCAGCAATGCCGGTCCACAAGGACTCCCATGCTTCGTGTCTCCAGGTACGATGCATCCACATGTCTGTTTAGTCTTTCACAATTCCTGAACATTCTGTAACATGTGCACTTCCCACTACACAGGAACTGTTTCCTTTTACAACATCTAAGAGAGCCCAGCCTAAAGTTTGAACACAAAACTTCTAAGGCATCTCCTGGTGATAAAGTGAAACAAATGAGCCAACCTGGACTTAAACACCTTACAATGTTTTCTACCTCAAAGAACTAAAGAATTCAATCTTCACTCAAAAACCACCACGTTACCCAGAAAGAAGTACTTTTACTAGATTCAAAGCTTTCCAAAATCTAAAATAAAAAAAAAAAAAGACAAGTTTCTTCTGCTCCCATCCCCTCCCCGCCCTCCCCTATTCTCCGCTCAGAACTCGGCTCTAAGTCTAGGAAGTGGGGGGTGGGGGGGATTGGAGGGGGAGCCATGGAAACCGACTCCACCGCTGCCAGGGGCTGGCATTTTAATTCCCAAACCTTAACACGGACAAAATCAGTCTGCACTGACACTTTGTCTCTTGAAACTTTCCAGCAGCGATCTCAAGATCCACCTCCACCTTCCCGTTTAGAACAGAAGAAGGTGAAGGAAGTCAGTAAAGTGGCCGAAGGAGGGCTACAGAGGGGTTTCGGGCACAGTGGGAATTATAGACGTAATCTGAACTCCGTGGGAAAACTCCTTAAGGTTTAAGGGGGGAAAAAAAGTTTCCCGCAGCCCTGGCAGGAACACTTCACGCCATTCACAGTTATTTTAAGCCCTTCACAACATTTTCCTTCCGTGCTCAAACACGGTGAAAGAACGCAGCAGCTTCTGCCGTGCGATTGAAAACCGTCTACTTAAGAACACCACACAGACACGGGGGGCAACCTCTACTGTGCCCTGACATGAGATCTCATGGGTATCTGAATTGTGCGGCGTTATCTGCTACTCTAACGGGGGCGTGGGCGGGAACCTTGGTCCTTACCTGGCTCCCTCACCCAGGCACCATCTGGACATGGGCAGGGATGGGGAGATGAAATGCAGACCCCAATATCGGGGTATTGAGAAAAGGGAGAGGCACACCCCCAAACAAGTCCTGCTTGTAGTCCCAGGGGAAGATGAACAGGGTTACAAACAGGAAGGGCCGTGGACAGGAGGGTCCCAGGGCAGAATAGAGAAAGATGAAGAGTGTGTGTGTGGTGGGGGGGAAGACCTGGGCGTTGCTGTAGCGAGAAGGGAAACACACTAGACTGACTCGGTGGAAGAATAAGGGGTGGGGACGCGAGGCAGAGCCAAGCCTTCGCCCCCGGTGCCCAGCCCCGGGAAAGCCGGCTCCCGGCAGGAAGGAGCCCGAGGCGGCGGCCGTCTCCCCCAGGGAGGCCCCCTTACCTTCGGGCATCTCCCGGTCGCTGATGTGCTGCAGGTGGTGACCCTCGCCGGCTCCGAAATCTAACTCGCTGGGCTCCACGGCAGCGGGCGCCGGGGCCACCGCCACCGCGTCGCCGGCAGCCGCCTCGTAGATCTCAGACTCGTATTCCGGCTCCGCCGGCCCCGCGCGCCGGCCCAACTTGGGGCTGGCATTGGGGGACACGCAACAGGTCAGCGTGTTCCCCATGGGGCGCCCCCGCTGCGCTCCGCCGCCGCCGTCGGCGCCTTCGCCCGCCCCCCGACCCCGCGGCGCTCGGCAGCCGCCCCCTCCCCCAACAATGGCGCGCTCGGCCCCGGCAGCCCCGGGGGCTGTGCCCGGGCTACGCCGGGGCTGCGGAGCGCATAGAGCCGCGGCCTCGCCCGCCGCTCGTCCGGCCCGCCGCCCCGCCGCCCGGCCCCGGGCAGGGCTCCGGCCTCGGCCGCGCCACCACCGCCCGCCGCGAGCCGACTCGTCTGCGAGGGCGGCGACCAGCCCGGCTTATTTAAAAGGGGTGGGGAACCCGCCGCGCGCTGCCACACGCAGCCACTGCCGGCAGAGAGCGCGCTCCCAGCCCCTCCTTCTTCCGCCGCCGCCTCTCGCCCGAAAGCCACTCACTCCGCCGGGCGCCTACCAACCGGAACGCGTCCTCTGGTCACCTGGTTACGAGGACCCAATCGTGACCCGAGTGCCTTCCACGCGCCCGCAGGGAGCCCGGCCACGTGATGCCCAGCGCCGCGCCCCCTCCGGCGGGGCGTCCTGGGCTCCCGCTCCCATTCATCGGCCGGAGCTCCGGAGCGTTCCGGTCCTGCGGGAGGCGGCGGACGTTGGTGGCTCCGGGCTGTCCTCGGCCTCTCCTCTGCAGACGGTCCCGGTGAGGCAAGCGCTCGGTTCCGTCCTCAACTTTGCTCCTCCGCGTCCGGCAGCTTCCATTGGCTTACCAAACTTAGTTGCACCGCCGCTTGGACCGTTTTTTTTTTTGTGACGGAAGACTCTTCTCCGGGCTTGCACGTGGGTCCGATTGTGCCCGCAACTGACCCCTCGGAATCCACGTGTCCGGCGTGAGACCCGACGAAGGTCACCTCTCCACTTCCTTGTCCGTGCAGCGGAGCGCGCTGGTCCCTCCCCTTCCCTAATCGTTTGTTCTCGCCTGTCTGTGCCACCCCTGGCAGCAGTTTGCAGATTTCCCTTCTTTTCCTGACAACAAGATTTCTTCAAACTTAATCAAGGACCACAGTGAGGTACCCCGGAGCTGACTCGATGGCGATGAAGGTAACAATGTGATATTTCATGTAAAGCTCCACACCCATCCCTTGTTACAGAGCACAGGGAGATGCAGACATTAAGTAACTTTCCCAAAGTCACGTGACCGCTTAGGGTGGGGCCAGGCGATTCCTGATTCCCTTTATCCTGAAAATAAAGGGTGGAAGTGGAACTTGTAAGAAAAATTACGTTGTATAGCAGGATTTTTTTAAAGGCCTTTTTAAAATGTCCGTTTTCCTTTATTAGAAGAGAAAGAGAATTTTGCATTCATTGGCCTCACTCATTCCCAGCGGCTCACCTACCAGGGCCGGGCCAGGCTGAATCCGGGGGCCCAGAACTACATTCAGGTCTCCAGCGTGACTGGCAGGAACTCAGCTGTTTGATCCATCGCCTGCTGCCTCCAGACGAATGCAACAGCAGGAAACAGGAATCCTTAGTGGAGCCGCAACCCAAACCTGGTTCCTCCCATAGAGGATGTGGGTGTGTCAGCTAGCCAGCCACAGCACCAAAAGCACCAAGGCCTGGCTCAAGGGTTATTTTCATGGAGATTTTAAGTACTTTTCTTCCATTTAACATTTCTTAAGACCTACTTGCCAGAGTCCAGTGTACTGGCTCAGTTGCTAATCCTCCACCTTCAAAGGCAGCATCCCGTGTGGGTGCGAGTTCTTGTCCCAGCTGCTCCACTTCCCATCCAGCTCCCTGCTTGTGGCCTGGGAAAGCAGTCGAGGACAGCTCAAAGCTTTGGGACCCTGCACCCACATGGGGAGACGCGGAAGAAGCTCCTGGCTTCAGATTGGCTCAGCTCCAGCTATTGTGACCATTTGGGGAATGAACCAGTGGATGGAGAATCTTTTTCTCTGTAAATGTGACTTTTCAATAAAAATAAGCCCCTAAAAAAAAAAAAAAGGCCATGTGCCAGTCCTACGTGAAAGAATCCCACTCCTCATTGAGTTCCAGCAGAGGAACAAGTTGTTGCAGAGTTCAAGTGAGATCATGCCAGACATGTCTAAGGTTTATTAAGTCCTTATAAGCAGTCTTTATTAACCAAGCTTGATGATAACAGAGCCCACTAGAAATAGCAAGTCACAAGTCCATATGGCAATCCAATCAATTATAACCCTCAAGATGAACAAATGGTCATTACCCTGAAGTCCACCTGTTAAACTGAACACCTGTGTCCCAGCTTCCCCAGCAATAGAAGCTATCCTAAGAGACATGCAGTGAATAACATGGACACATTTACAAAGCCACAGACATTCACCTTTCCCTGGCTTCTCTGCCCACATTCCATCAATGCTAGGCCTCACCTCTCCTGGAACACACACATTAGAAATGCAAAGCATCTTAGCATTGCTATCTTCATTGTCTCACCCAAGCAGTGAACAGAGTGTGAGGAATACAGACACAGGGGCCATGCTCAGGGGCCACCTGTCCCCGGAGGTACTGGGGAGGCCAGGAGTCGGAGTGCCAGAGCAATGGGAGAGCAAGAGAACCCCTCATCGTGAGGCTTGAAGGGGCTTGTGAGGGGAGTGGTTACGCAACAATGCAGTACTGCCCCCTCTCGGGTGAGAGTCACAGGTGGGCAGGAGGGAACACCTAAATGGTGGGGGAGTGACTTCCATGCTGGCGACCCTGAACTAGCTGCCTACCTCACCACAAAGTCAGGGCGGACAGAGTCCAGGTGCCTGATGTCCAGCTACTCAACCAGGCTGGTGATTCTGGGATGTAGACCCGGAGCCATCTGCCCCAAGGCGGCAGAGCCTGGATTTGATCCTGGAAACAGTTTGCAGTTGAGTCACTCTCAGATGTGTTTGTGGTGAGGTTAATCTGCATAATAAAAGGAAATGAAGGCTACAGCATGACCACCAGGACATTTTGTGTCTAGGGGGGCTGGCAATAGGGCATAGCAGCTAAAGCTGTCCTTGGTGTACTGGCATTGCATAGAAGTGTCCGATTGTTTCTTGCTTGCTCCACTTCCGGTCTAGCTCAGAGCTCATAGCCTGGTAAAGCTGTGGACGACAGCCAGGATGTGCAGGTCGTGGCTACCCATCTGGGAGACCTGAGTAGGCCTCCTGGCTCGTGCTTGGGGCCTGGCGGACCATTGCAACATCTGGGGGTGTGAACCAATGGCTACATCTCTGCATCTCTCTCTGCAACTTCGACTTTCTAAATCAATCATTTGTTTAACTAAATTTTCCCTCGTGTTTTTATAGCAAGTCTGACCATATTTTTTATTTTTAAAAAGATTTATTTAGAAGGCAGGGGAAAGAGAGAAATCTTCCATCTGCTGTTTTACTCCCTGCATGGCCACAATCGAGTAGTCAGGAGCCGGGAGCTTCTTTCTTCCAGGTATTTTGGGGCATCTTCTACTGCTTTCCTAGGCATATTAATTGGGAACTGGATCCGAAGGGACAAGGCAGCAGTTTACTCACTACGGTTCCATGTTTATTTTTCTGAAAGAGATTATACTCCCCTAGAAGAGGAGTGAGGATTCAGACAAAGGCCATCACAGTTACTGGGGTGGAAGAAAACAATTGGTAATCGTACAAAAGACAGGATACGAAATATGTGCTGATTGGCTGCAGTATGCAAAAAAGGCTGCTATGTTTTTGGGTTTTTTTAAATTATTATTGCAAAGTCAGATATACAGAGAGGAGGAGACACAGAGATCTTCCATCCAGTGATTCACTCCCCAAGCAATTGCCACGGCCGGAGCTGAGCCAATCCGAAGCCAGGAGCCCAAAGTCCCCTCAGGGTCTCCCATGCAAGTGTAGGGTCCTAAGGCTTTGGGCCATCCTCTACTGCTTTCCCAGACCACAAGTAGGAAGTTGGATGTGAAGTGTAACCACCGGCATTAGAACCAGTGCCCATTTGGGATCCCGGTGCATGTAGTGCAAGGACTTTTATTCACTAGGCTACTGTGCCAGGCCCTGCTGTGGTGTGATTTGGGAGTCTGATTAGGAAGGGTGGCATCCTGCGTGACGGCATCCAGATGAGAATTAGTTTGAAGAAGATTGTCTGTGATACTGTTAATTGACATGGAACTAGAGCTCCCTGGTCTGAGGTTGCAAACACTTGTAAACCTCCACAGGCTAGGTCCAAGCCAAAACAGATAACTGAAAAAAATTCCTAAAATGTCCACAATAAGTGGTATTACCACTTTTTAAAAGATTTTTTTTTTTTGACCCTTCCAGAGGAAAGCAGGCGTCTGCATGTTTATTGAAGAAGGAGTGGGACCTACCTCAGTAGCTTTGCTGCTTGTTCTTTGGTTTCAAATTCCACAGAAACAAATCCTTTTGGATCTCCAGCAGATTTACAATGTGGTATACTGACATAAACAGCATGGCCACATTTCCCAAATACTCTTTCAATCCAGCTGCAATTAACATTTTGGGGAAGTGATTCCTATGATAAATTATAAGCACTTAAGTTTGTAAGTACAGCCTTTCGCAATTTCTATGTCAATAAAATTTTAACATTAAAAAAGTGGGTTTTTTTTTTTTTAAGATTTATTTATTTTTATTAGAAAGTCAGATATATACAGAGAGAAGGAGAGCCAGAAACATATATCTTCTGTCCAGTAATTCACTCCCCAAGTAACTGCAACGGCCAGTGCTACGGTGATTCAAAGCCAGGAGCCCAGATCCTCTTCCGGATCTCCCACGCGGGTGCAGGGTCCCAAGGCTTTGGACCGTCCTCGACTGCTTTCCCGGGCCACAAGCAGGGAGCTGGATGGGAAGTGAGGCTGCCGGGATTAGAACCAGTGCCCATATGGGATCCCAGCACATTCAAGGACTTCAGCCACTAGGCCATGGTGCCGGGCCCTGTTTTTTTGTCTTTGTTTTTAACTTTAAAGGCAAATTTACAAAGAGAAAGAGCACAAATACGAGAGAGAAAGCGATAGGGAGAGATCTTTTCACTGATTCACTCTCCAAATGGCTGCAGTGGCGAGAGCTGGGCTAGTCTGAAGCTAAGAGCCAGGAGTTTCTTCTGAGTCTCCCACGTGGGTGCAGGGGCCTAAGGACTTGGGCCATCTTTTGCTGCTGTCCCTGGTCACATAAGCAGGGAGTTGGATTGAAAGTGGGACTTCAATCAGAATCCACATGGGAT